GTTTTTGTAGCTGCTGACTTTTAATTTTTCCACATCTGACTGAAGAACTGCTTTAACCACTTGTCCCTTATACCCTCTTCGTGCCCAGGCCTATTTTTAGCTTTCAGCGCTGTCACACTTTGAATGACAATTGAGCAATCATCCAACATTGTACCCATATGAAATTTGTATCATATTCTTCACACATATAGAGCTTTCTTTTTGTGGTATTCAGTCACCACTGGGTGTTTTATTTTTTGTGCTATAAACAAGGCAACAAATATGAAAAAAAAGTGTTTTCTATTATAACTTTTTGCAAACAGGTAATTTTTCTTTCACTGATGTGCGTTGATGAGGCTGCACTGATAGGCAGCACTGATGGGCATTGATGAGGTGGCATGGATAGGCAGCACTGATGGGCACTGATGATACTGCACTGATAGGCGGCACTGACTGATGGCCCTGACTGGCGGCACTGACTGGAGGCACTGCTGGGCACTGATAGGCGGTGTCACTAACGCGGCATCAGACCCCAGCCCTTCTCACCAAACTCGTGACTAAAGGACTAGCCAATCTAAAACCACGATGTCACGTGCTTAACAATGCCACACCCAGCTGCACCCTGCACAACGATTTTCCAGCTAATTAGACCACAATTGATGTACTGGCAGCCTGAGCGATTGTTACTGGGTCAGGTTAATTACGCAATTAACCCTTCACACTGCCACCACCTCCTTTTTTTACAGAGAAGGAGGAAACTCTGCAATATCCACAATAACACTATAATGGTTGAGGTAACACGGTTATACAGAGGGTGAAACAAACACAGTAGCATTCTCTTTTGAGGCAGGAATTCATAAATTGCAATAAAGCGCTATAGAAACAGTTCAACACTTTCAGAAGGAAAGATTTATTACTAAAAGGTCAAACGGGTGCAATAAAAATATTTACAGAAAAAGATGTAACTAAGATATATATATATACAGTGGGGCAAAAAAGTATTTAGTCAGCCAGCAATTGTGCAAGTTCTCCCACTTAAAAAGATGAGAGAGGCCTGTAATTGGCATCATAGGTAGACCTCAACTATGAGAGACAAAATGAGAAAAAAAATCCAGACAATCATATTGGCTGATTTGGAAAGAATTTATTTGCAAATTATGGTGGAAAATAAGTATTTGGTCACCTACAAACAAACATGATTTCTGGCTCTCACAGATCTGTACCTTCTTCTTTAAGAGGCTCCTCTGTCCTGCACTCATTACTTGTATCAATGGCACCTGTTTGAACTTGTTATCAGTATAAAAGACACCTGTCCACAACGTCAAACAGTCACACTCCAAACTCCACTATGGTGAAGACTAAAGAGCTGTTGAAGGACACCAGAAACAAAATTGTAGACCTACACCAGGCTGGGAAGACTGAATCTGCAATAGGTAAGCAGCTTGGTGTGAACAAATCAACTGTGGGAGCAATAATTAGAAAATGGAAGACATACAAGACCACTGATAATCTCCCTCGATCTGGGGCTCCACGCAAGATCTCACCCCGTGGGGTCAAAATGATCACAAGAATGGTGAGCAAAAATCCCAGGACCACACGGGGGACCTAGTGAATGACCTGCAGAGAGCTGGGACCAACGTAACAAAGGCTACCATCAGTAACACACTACACCGCCAGGGACTCAGATCCTGCAGTGCCAGACGTGTACCCCTGCTTAAGCCAGTTACATGTCCGAGCCCATCTGAAGTTTGCTAGAGAGCATTTGGATGATCCAGAAGAGGATTTGGAGAATGTCATGATGTCAGATGAAACCAAAATAGAACTGTTTGGTAGAAACACAACTCATCATGTTTGGAGGAGAGAAAATGCTGAGTTGCATCCAAAGAACACCATACCTACTGTGAAGCATGGGGGTGGCAACATCATGCTTTGGGGCTGTTTCTCCGCAAAGGGACCAGGACGACTGATCCATGTACAGGACAGAATGAATAGGGCCATGTATCGTGAGGCTTTGAGTGGAAACCTCCTGTCAGGGCTCCCGGGTGTGACCAGAGGTGTGTGACTGACGCAGGGAAACGCAGACTTCAGATAAGTTATAAACAATTTATTAACACTAACAATACAAACATAAACGCAGTGCAATACTAAAACATAACACAGTGCAAACGAACCAAACCAAACCAACCACAGATAACAGTACATACAGTGCAAGCGTCGTCAGGCAGGCTGGGTCAATATCAATCGGGCAGGTAGGTACAGGGGGAGCAAGCGGAGAATAGTCAGGTCACGAGCAGGGTACAGCAACTAACAGGCAGGTAGGTACAGGGGGGTCAGGCAGAGAATGGTCGGGGTCACAAGCCAGGGATCAGAACAGGAGAAGTCAGCAGAGGTCAGAATCAAGCCGGGTCAGCAACAAGACAGGAACAGGAACAGGAGCAGGAGCAGGATGCAGGAACAAGATACAGGGCCCAGGAAAAACACAACACCAAGGCAGAGTCTGCAGGTCTGAATGTCCTTTAAATACACCTGTATAATTAGTTCCAGGTGTTTGACTGGCTGCAAGGTTGAGTCTCTGATTGCTGGGAGCACCCGCTGGCCAGCCCTGGTACTGCAGCTCACAAGGCAGGTGAGTCCCACTATTGCTGGCCAGTCCATTCCCCTGACAGTACCCCCCCTCAAGGAGCGGCCTCAGGACGCTCCAAACAGTCCTAGCTGGGCAAAAAGTTCCACCGCCCGGGTCTGGTAACTGGCGGGATATCAAAGACTGGCACACAACGGGCAGGACTCCGGGCAGCGGCACACCGGGCAGCGGCACACCGGGCAGAGGCACACCGGGCAGAGGCACATCGGGCTGGACTCCGGGCAGAGGCACATCGGGCTGGACTCCGGGCAGAGGCACATCGGGCTGGACTCCGGGCAGAGGCACATCGGGCTGGACTCCGGGCAGAGGCACATCGGGCTGGACTCCGGGCAGAGGCACATCGGGCTGGACTCCGGGCAGAGGCACATCGTGGGCTGGACTCCGGGCAGAGGACTCCGAGCAGCGGCACACCGGGCAGAGGCACATCGGGCTGGACTCCGGGCAGAGGCACTCCGAGCAGCGGCACACCGGGCAGAGGCACATCGGGCTGGACTCCGGGCAGAGGCACATCGGGCTGGACTTCGGGCAGAGGCACATCGGGAGATTACCAGGTGAAGCAGCAGGCACCGGGCCCCCAGGTGGGGCGGGGCCCCCAAGCCGGGGCGCATCGGGCCCCCAAGCGGGGCGACAGGCATCGGGCCCCCAAGCGGGGCGATAGGCATCGGGCCCCCCCGGCGGGGCGACAGGCATCGGGCCCCCAGGCGGGGCGACAGGCATCGGGCCCCCAGGTGGGGCGACAGGCATCGGGCCCCCTGGCGGGGCGACGGGCATCGGGCCCCCAGGCGGAGCGGCGGGCGCCGGGCCCCCAGGAGGGGCGACAGGCATCGGGCCCCCCAGGAGGGGCGACAGGCATCGCACCCCCAGGCGGAGCAGCGGGCGCCGGGCCCCCAGGCGGAGCGGCGGGCGCCGGACCCCCAGGCGGAGCGACAGGCATCGGGCCCCCAGGAGGGGCGACAGGCATCGGGCCCCCAGGCGGGGCAACAGGCATCGGGCCCCCAGGCGGAGCGGCGGGCGCCGGACCCCCAGGCGGAGCGACAGGTCTCGGGCCCCCAGGCGGAGCGGCGGGCGCCGGACCCCCAGGCGGAGCGACAGGTCTCGGGCCCCCAGGCAGAGAAGCGGCGGGCGCCGGACCCCCAGGCGGAGCGACAGGTCTCAGGCCCCCAGGCGGAGTGGCGGGCGCCGGACCCCCAGGCGGAGCGACAGGTTCTCAGGCCCCCAGGCCGGAGCGGCGGGCGCCGGACCCCCAGGCGGAGCGACAGGTCTCAGGCCCCCAGGCGGAGCGGCGGGCGCCGGACCCCCAGGCGGAGCGGCAGGTCGCCGGCCCCCAGGCGGAGCGACAGGCCGCTCGGGCCCCCAGGCGGGAGCGGCAGGCACTCAGCGAGTCACCAGGCACGACAGTGCGCACCGAGTCGTCGGGCGCGGACCCCCTGGCGGAGACGGCGGGCACCGAGTCAACAGGCGGAGCGACGGGCTCGGGCCCCCACTGGCGAGGGCTGCGGGCACCGAGTCACCAGGCAAGACAGTGCGGGCACCGAGTCGTCTGGCAAGACTGCGGGCACCGAGTAGTCTGGCAAGACTGCGGGCACCGAGTCAACTGGCGGAACAGCGGGCATCGAGTCAACTGGCGGAACAGCGGGCACCGAGTCGTCTGGCAAGACTGCGGGCACCGAGTCGTCTGGCAAGACTGCGGGCACCGAGTCGTCTGGCAAGTACTGCGGGCACCGAGTCGTCTCTGGCAAGACTGCGGGCACCGAGTCGTCTGCGCAAGACTGCGGGCACCGAGTCAACTGGCAAGACTGCGGGCACCGAGTCGTCTGGCAACAGCGGGCACCGAGTCAACTGGCGGAACAGCGGGCATCGAGTCAACTGGCGGAACAGCGTGGGCACCAAGTCGTTCTGGCAAGACTGCGGGCACCGAGTCGTCTGGCAAGACTGCAGGCACCGAGTCGTCTGGCAAAACTGCGGGCACAGAGTCAACTGGCGGAACAGGGGCATCGAGTCAACTGGCGGAACTGCGGGCACCGAGTCGTCTGGCAAGACTGCGGGCACCGAGTCGTCTGGCGGAACAGCGGGCATCGAGTCAACTGGCGGAACAGCGGGCACCGAGTCGTCTGGCAAGACTGCGGGCACCGATTCGTCTGGCAAGACTGCGGGCACCGAGTCGTCTGGCAAGACTGCGGGCACAGAGTCAACTGGCGGAACAGCGGGCATCGAGTCAACTGGCGGGACTGCGGGCACCGAGTCGTCTGGCAAGACTGCGGGCACCGAGTCGTCTGGTGGAACAGCGGGCATCGAGTCAACTGGGGCGAACAGCGGGCATCGAGTCAACTGGCGGAACAGCGGGCACCGAGTCGCCTGGCAAGACTGCGGGCACCGAGTCGTCTGGCAAGACTGCGGGCACCGAGTCACCAGGTATGACAGCGAGCACACTGGGTCACCAGGCATTGGATCGTCTGGCTCGACAGCGGGCATCGGGTCACCAGGTATGACAGCGGGCACTGGGTCACCAGGCATCAGGTCATTTAGCTCGCCAGCGGGCACCGCGTCATCTGGCACGGCAGTGGGCACCGAGTTACCAGGCACGACAGTGGACTCTGACTCATTGGCACGACAGCGGGCACCGGGTCATCAGGTACCGGATTGTCTGGCTCGACAGCGGGCATCGGGTCACCAGGTATGACAGCGGGCACTGGGTCACCAGGCATCAGGTCATTTGGCTCGCCAGCGGGCACCGCGTCATCTGGCAAGGCAGTGGGCACCGAGTCACCAGGTACGACAGTTACGGGGCTCTGAGTCAATTGGCACGACAGCGGGCACCGGATCATCTGGATCAACAGCGGGCATCGAGTCAACTGGCCTAATAGGATCATCAGGCTGGATCAGTTCATTATGCTGGGTAGAAGCATCCGGCTGAGTAGAGGCATCCGGCTGAGTAGAGGCTTCAGGCTGAGTAGAGGCTTCAGGCTGAGTAAGGCTTCAGGCTGAGTAGAGGCTTCAGGCTGAGTAGAGGCTTCAGGCTGAGTGGAGGCATCAGGCTGAAGAGAGGCATCAGGATGAGTAGAGGCATCCGGCTGAGTAGAGGCATCCGGCTGAGTAGAGGCATCCGGGCTGAGTAGAGGCTTCAGGCTGAGTAGAGACTGAGGGAGGCATCAGGCTGAGAGAGGCATCAGATGAGTAGAGGCATCCGGATGAGTAGAGGCATCCGGCTGAGTAGAGGCATTCAGGCTGAGTAGAGGCTTCAGGCTGAGTAGAAGGCTTCAGGCTGAGTAGAGGCTTCAGGCTGAGTAGAGGCTTCAGGCTGAGTAGAGGCATCAGGCTGGGTACAGGCATCAGGCTGGGAACAGGCATCAGGCTGAGAGAGGCATCAGGCTGAAGAGAGGCATCAGGCTGAACCACGGAAGGCAGGTTCTCAGACGGCAGGCTCACCGGTTTGGATACTGGCAGGATGGTACTGGTTGGAAAGAATGTTTTCGCTTTTTTCTCTGTTTTTAACTACTGGGGCACTGCAAGTAAACGCAGGTCTGCAAATGAATGGAGTAGCTGGAGACAGAGAAGAGCTGGAGGAGGATGAACAGAGGAAGGAACAGTCGCTACAGAGGGCTTCTTTACAGGGTATAAAGGCAGGATAGGTGCAGCGAGTGGAACAGGGGACTGACATGCGGTAGATAGCCAAGTATACTGGGCTGTAACTGGAGGAGCTGTTGGGAATACAGGAGTAGAGCTTTGAGGAGATAGATTAGAAGCAGGACTGGGTCTTTGTAAGCTGACTGAGGCTGGGGTGTAACAAATCTGTCCATGTCTGCAGTATGGGTTGAACAAATCTGAGCTTACACAAAGCCTGTCTGACCAAAGACTGCACTGCGTTTATACAATCTCTTAGTACCTGTGGTAAACATGTGGAATAACGCTCCAGAAAGCAATCCACATCATCCTCTAATAACCATACCAGGGACTTACCTGGTCTGCACTAAATGGTGGCAAAAATTCATCCCTGCATTCGGGGGTACCAGATGAAACCAACTCAGCACAAACCTCAATCAATGGCTGCACCTCAGAGAACTCTGTGCCCTGATCTACTAGAACATGAGCGAGCCGTATACATTCTAGCAGTTCATCCCGGGTATACTCCTTCAGAGTTTGATAAGCATACTCCCTGTCATCAAACACTAGCAGATATAAATACGCAACCTCATCCAGATCCATCCTTCCCATCAACAAATCAAGATGGCTTCCCTGTGCAGCCACTTCTGGTCAGGATTGGCCTTGGTGTAATGTCAGGGCTCCCGGGTATGACCAGAGGTGTGTGACTGACGCAGGGAAAAGCAGACTTCAGATAAGTTATAAACAATTTATTAACACTAACAATACAAACATAAACGCAGTGCAATACTAAAACATAACACAGTGCAAACGAACCAAACCACCCACAGGTAACAGTACATACAGTGCAAGCGTCGTCAGGCAGGCCGGGTCAATATCAATCGGGCAGGTAGGTACAGGGGGGAGCAAGCGGAGAATAGTCAGGTCACGAGCAGGGTACAGCAACTAACAGGCAGGTAGGTACAGGGGGGTCAGGCAGAGAATGGTCGGGGTCACAAGCCAGGGATCAGAACAGGGAGAAGTCAGCAGAGGTCAGAATCAAGCCGGGTCAGCAACAAGACAGGAACAGGAACAGGAGCAGGAGCAGGAGCAGGATGCAGGAACAAGATACAGGGCCCAGGAAAAACACAACACCAAGGCAGAGTCTGCAGGTCTGAATGTCCCTTAAATACACCAGTATAATTAGTTCCAGGTATTTGACTGGCTGCAAGGTTGAGTCTCTGATTGCTGGGAGCACCCGCTGGCCAGCCCTGGTACTGCAGCTCACAAGGCAGGTGAGTCCCACTATTGCTTGCCAGTCCATTCCTGACACCTCCTTCCATCAGCAAGGGCAATAAAGATGAAATGTGGCTGGGTCTTCCAACATGACAATGATCCCAAACATACCGCCCGGGCAACAAAGGAGTGGCTTCGTAAGAAGCATTTCAAGGTCCTGGAGTGGCCTAGCTAGTCTCCAGATCTCAACCCCATAGAAAACCTTTGGAGGGAGTTGAAAGTCCATGTTGCCCAGCGACAGCCCCAAAACATCACTGCTCTAGAGGAGATCTGCATGGAGGAATGGGCCAACATACCAGCAACAGTGTGTGCCAACCTTGTGAAGACTTACAGGAAACGTTTGACCTCTGTCATTGCCAACAAAGGATATATAACAGAGTACTGAGATGAACTTTTGATATTGACCAAATACTTATTTTCCATCATAATTTGCAAATAAATTATTTCCAAATCAGCCAATGTGATTGTCTGGATTTTTTTTTTCATTTTGTCTCTCATAGTTGAGGTCTACCTATGATGCAAATTACAGGCCTCTCTCATCTTTTTAAGTGGGAGAACTTGCACAATTGGTGGCTGACTAAATACTTTTTTGCCCCACTGTATACAGTGGGGATCGAAAGTTTGGGCACCCCAGCTAAAAGTTTGTATTAATGTGCATAAAGAAGCCAAGGAAAGATGAAAAAATCTCCAAAAGGCATCAAATTACAGATTAGACATATCTGTAAGACACATATATAGACACTTATAATATGTCAACAAAAGTTAGATTTTATTTCCATCATTTACACTTTCAAAATAACAGAGTTATCTTGTACTGCCCCCTTTGGCAAGTATCACAGCTTGTAAACGCTTATTGTAGCCAGCCAAGAGTCTTTCAATTCTTGTTTGAGGTATCTTTGCCCATTCTTCCTTACAAAAGTCTTCCAGTTCTTTGAGATTTCTGGGCTGTCTGTCACGCACTGCTCTTTTAAGGTCTATCCATAGATTTTCAATTATGTTGAGGTCATGAGATTGTGAAGGCCATGGCAAAACCTTCAGTTTACGCCTCTTGATGTAATCCCCTGTGGATTTTGAGGTGTGTTTAGGATCATTATCCATTTGTAGAAGCCATCCTCTCTTTAACTTCAGCTTTTTCATAGATGGCATCAAGTTACCATCCAAAATTTGCTGAAATTTTATTGAATCCATTTTTCCTTCTACTCGTGAGATGTTCCCTGTGCCACTGGCTGCAGCACAACCCCAAAGCATGATTGATCCAACTCCATGCTTAACAGTTGGACAGAGGTTCTTTTCATTAAATTCTGTGCCCCTTCTTCTCCAAACGTACCTTTGCTCATTCCAGCCAAAAAGTTAAATTTTAACCTCATCGGTCCACAGAACTTGTTTCCAAAATGCATCAGGCTTGTCTATATGTTCATTTGCAAAGTTCAAATGATGATTTTTGTGGTGAGGACGTAGAAGAGGTTTTCTTCTGATGACTCTTCCATGAAGACCATATTTGTACAAGTATCTCTTTATAGTGGAATAGTGTACCACAACTCCAGTGTCTGCCAGATCTTTCTGGAGGGATCGTGCAGTCAAACGTGGGTTTTGAATTGTTTTTTCTCACAATCCTGCGAGCTGTTCTGTCTGATATTTTTTCTTGGTCTTCCAGATCTTGCTTTAACTTCCACTGTTCCTGATGACTGCCATTTCTTAATTACATTCCGAACAGAGGATACTGACATCTGAAAAAGCTTTGCTATCTTCTTATAGCCTTCTCCAGCTTTGTGAGCGTCAACTATTTTCAGTTTCAGTTATCTAGACAACTGCTTAGAAGAACCCATGGTGCTGATTGTTGGGGCAAGGTCAGATGAGTCTGGGCATTTAAAACCTTTGAGATTGACATCACCTGGTCTTCCCAGACGATGATTGAGAACAATCCATGACACTGGCAGGTCTCAGCTTTGCAAAGGGGGCAGTGCATGCTATAAATTCTGCAGGGTGCCCAAACTTTTGCAGACGCCATTTTTTTTTTTGGTTTTCTGTTATTTTGAAAGTGTAAATGATGGAAATAAAATCTAACTTTTGTTGACATATTATAAGAATGTCTAATCTGTAATTTGATGCCTTTTGGAGATTTTTCCATCTTTCCTTGGCTTCTTTATGCACATTAATACAAAGTTTTAGCTGGGGTGCCCAAACTTTCGATCCCCACTGTATATATATATATATATATATATATCTAAATATATAGAGACTAACAGCACAGCAAAGAGATATCAGAGAGAGGTGAAAGGGTTAAGGTACTTGCCAAAGTCCTGGGTTAGCAGATCCAAGTTTCAGAGCAAAAGGCCACGGGTCTCCCCAGGTGGTACTGATGTTAAAATGGGAAGCGTCTTCAACTTTTTTCTCTTAGGCCTGACAGCCCAATTTGTAGTTCCCCAGCAGGGGGTGTCTTTGAAGTCAAGGAACAATACCCCGTCTAGGGCGTGGAGGTCTGGGCGTAGCCCTAAACTAGAACCAAAATTTTGTGTAGTTCAAATTTTGGCTCATAACTTTTCCTATGCACAAGTGACACTCTACCAGCGGGTAGATTATTATGCAGACATGTCTGAGGATTGATTAGATATGAATTATGAAATTATACACTGAATGGTTCACAAGATCTATTTTTTCGGCTTTCCTATCTATTCAAGACAAGGCGAGTGACCCATCAAATTGTTCATCTTCTCTTAGCCAATCTGACGATATGTCTGGTTTTTATGTAAGTCTCTCATATTCCAAGATAGGAGACATAGGGGAAAATGGATTTTTAAAAGTGTTAGCTGGTCCAGCCTTCCTTGGAATGTCTTGAACTCCAGGGAAAGCTTGCCTTATCTTATACGAGGTGTTACATTTTACAGGTTCTTCAGACAGCTAGGCCCCAGCTCCCTTGGGGACTTTATAGCTCCTAGACCCCTGCTAGGCCCTGGCCTCCTGTGACACTCCTAACACATACACACTGGTCAAATGTCACTGTGACTCTCAGAGAGGGAAGGGGGAAAGTATGAGGGGAGAAAATGGAGGTTCTCAACAAAATGGAGGCCTGTGTCAGTCTCTGGGTATACGCCGGTTACAGGCGGCACTGATGAGAACTGATGGGTGGCACTGTTGGGAGGGCACTGATGTGTGGCACTGCTGGGGGCACTGATGGGTGACAGTACTGGGCACTGGTGGGTGGCACTGCTGGTAACTGTTGGGTGGCACTAGTGGGTGTCACTGCTGGGCGGCACTGTAGGGTACTGATCATCAGTGCCCTGATGATCAGTGGTGATCTCTGTGACAGCTGTTGGTTATCGGCAGTACTTTCCTCACGCTAAGAGCATGAGGAAAGTGCTGCCGTTACCCAGCAACTGTATCTACTCCGTGATCTGCTGTGTCATTGGATACAGCTGATCACGTGGTAAATGGCCGCTGTGATTGCCCTTTTACCTCATCACTTGATCAACTGTGTCTATAGGACACATAGATTACGGAGATCGCCAGGTGCGCACCCCTGGGG